ATTATCAAGACTTCACCTAACCACATAAAATGAATCTAAGCATGCCAAAAGAATGAAAATGGTGGTTGAACCACTCATCAAACCTCAACTAAATCAAGTCAACAAACCTAACTTGAAGCAATGCTTCACATTATCTATAATAATATCCCATAATCCCAGTCTCAGATTCCATGGCTTCAAGCCATTTAATGGATCTGGATCCGATATAGTGTCTTTGTAGGTTTTGGGTTCATTGTCTTGGTAGACCAATACGTCACCATGTTGAGTCACAAGATAACCTTATCTCTCAGGCTTACGATGTACTCTCCCAATCTATATAGTTCCTATGCTACCTAAGGTGGTTCTTTTGATCCACAAATTGTAGAGGAACCTCTTCACGTGTTCAACCACCTCTGTGGCACATCTTCCTGTCCTTTGTCCATGTATCTTATGGTACTTGAACTTCATCGAGTTCTACTTTTGCCACTAGTACTTCTTAGAAAAAAATCCTTTTCTAAGAAGACATCAATAGCGAAAAAAAATTTTGTGCTCTTCTAGATGGTAGAAAGTATCCTTTGGTCTTTTTAGGATACCCCACAATTATACATTTGCAGGATTTTAGGCCCAGCTTGTTCGAAGTCAATTTCTTGACATAAGCTTCACAACCCCAAATCATTAGATAGACAAGTTAGGCTTTTGCCCACTCCATAGTTCATATAGAGCCTTATCTACAGACTTTGATGGCACACTGTTCAATACGTGAGTTGCAGTCTTTACGGCATAACCCCAAAATGATGCAGGTATGATCACTAAAATTCATCATGGACCTAACCATGTCAAGTAAGGTCCTATTCTTCCCTCAGACACTCCATTGTGTTGGGGTGTGTACGAAGGAGTGAATTGTGATACTATCCCACATCTTTTAGGTATTCAGAAACCCTGAGCTTAAGTATCACCTACTCGATCAGACCGAAGAGCTTTATACTTTGCCCAACATATTATGTACTTCATTCTTAATTCTTTATTTATCAAAGGATTCCAATTTATGCTCATAAGATAGACATAACTATATCTACTGACATCATCAGTAATGTGATAAAGTATGAATATCCACCTCTAGATTCAACTGTTAGTGGACCACATACATCATTATGGATGAACTTAACAGTTTAGTAGCCCTTTCACTTTGTCTTGTGAAGGAGACTTGGTCATCTTGCCTAAAAGGCATTATCACATACCTCGAATGACTTGAAGTCAAAAGGGCCCAAAACTTCATCCCTTTGAAGTTTTTCAGAGCAAGTTCTGATTAACATGACCCAATCTACAATGTCAGAGGTATGTCGGTTTCGATCACTATGTTTAGCTCTCTTGGTTTGAACATTCAGAATATCCTATTGTTTAAATCAAGAACATATAGCCCGTTATATAACCTTGAAATTCCAAATAGATACCATTCAAACTAAAGGACAACAATCTATTAGAAATCTCAAAATGATATCCTATATTATCCAAAGTAGATACTAAAATAATATTTCTGGAAATAGAAGGTATGTAATAACAGTATGAAGTTCCAACAACAAGCCCATAGCAAGATAAACAGCAAGTCCTACAGCCAATGCAGCCACATGTGCTCCATTTCTAACTCGTAGGTCCATTTCTCCTTTGGTACGCGATCTACTCTACTAGTCCCTGCAACTCTATATAAATGGAGTAACGTCCTATGTCAATGACCCAAGATTTATAGCTAAAAAACAATTGGGGTTGCTTGCCCCCTTTTTATTGCCCTTTCTTACAACCCCTAAACTTGAACTTTTTAATCCATTACTTCTTCAGAGGCCTCTCAACTCTTTTATGTTATACACGAGGTCCGAAATTCTCCTAAAGGGTATGAAAAAGTGCTTAGGGTGAAAGGTTTGGACATTTTCAGTTGTACAAGAAGAATAAGGCAATTAAATCAATAGGCTCAAACAGGTAACTAGGGACAATTCATTCATGGGTTGGCTAGAAAGGATCAAACGTTCCAAAAAATTGCCTAAATCATTTCCTCAATAATGTCTATTCCTAGAATTTCGCCTCAAGCACCTCTCAACTAGGTTCTAGAGTTTACCAACATTATCAAGACTTCACCTAACCACATAAAATGAATCTAAGCATGCCAAAAGAATGAAAATGGTGGTTGAACCACTCAACAAACCTTAAGCTAAATCAAGTCAACCAACCTAACTTGAAGCAATGCTTCTCATTATCTATAAATAATATCCCAATAATCCTAGTCTCATCGTAGACTTATGCAATTCATCTAGGCAACAACAACACAACACACACAAAACACACCAAACAAATAACAATAAAAAAACTTAAAAGAAAAAGAAACACTATTTCGAGCTAAAACACACAAACAAACTAAATGCAAAAAATTTCAAAATTTTCCTACCCGGAAACTTAAAATGACATTGTCACTAATGTCACATCATGCACATCCAAGGAATAGAAAAACAAAAGTAGAGGTTAAGAGATACTCCCCTGATTAATCTATAAAGGTCGATTTTTGTGCAAAAACCTGGCATCCATTCCTTGGCTTCCTCATCATCATCATTTGTCAAACAAATGAAAATCTATGGTGCTGTTTAGATATCCTCACCGATTAATATGAAAGAATTACATCCTGATCTCAACCTTATCAAACTAAACCTAAAATCTAAACAAAAATGAATAAAGAGCTAAAAACTAGGAAATCAACATCAGTTCCAATTTACAAAACATAATGAAATTAAAAAAAAAAACTAAAAAGAAAAGTGCTTTAGGCTTCACTCGTCATCTTCCTCTCCCTTCTCGTTGTCATCATCTTCTTCTAGGGCATCATCATGAATTCGATCTTCCTCTTCCTTTTGCCAATCTTGGCATTGGAATTTGGATACATCAATGCCCAGACTGGTGCAACACTTGTATTGCATGTTGTACATCTTTCGGATCTGATTTGCTATCCAATCTTGGCATCTTTCCATTCTATTCATCTTTTTTAGGATTTTTTGTAACAGCTCATTTGTCGTGGGTGATGGAGCAGGTGCTGTGGTAGTGGTTGTGGTTGTGGATCTTGGTCTTTTCAAGCTTGAACTGGCTCCTCCAATGGTAGGTCTATCTTGGAGCCTCTAGTAATAGGCTTGGTTGAGGATTAGGGTAGGATGACGAAGTGGTTCATCATCTGGCTTCTTGACTCCAGCTCTCATACAAATCTCCGTGATGAGATGCAGGAAGGCATAGCTAGCTCTCACTGGTTTGGCCGCATGCCTTATATTCTCCATTATGATTTCACCCACATCCATCTTATTTCCAATTGCAATGGCATAAAGTAAGACGACTCTTTTTGAATCCACTAAACTATAGTGCGTCTTTGGAATCAGCCTCGTACAGATGAAGTATTGTCAAATTCTAGCCATGGCCATCAAGTTAGTCCCTTTTAAGCTTCTCCTTCCCTTCATAGAGATCTCCCAATTGGTACTTGGCTTTGCTATTATCCTAATTATCTCATCATAGTCAATTTCCTTAGCTTTGAATTCCAAGTAATCATCATGGTCAATTAGATTAATCTCATAGAATTCATTGATGATCTTGGCACTAGATGGCACCTTAACACCCCTCACATACACATGCTTGGGATCACACTCAGAGAAGTTCACGTAAAACTCTCTTATAATGGGCTCTACGGCTAGATGCTTAGGTTCTCATAGAAAGGGTATCTAATCGCTTACTTTGATCCAATCATCTGCAAAGGCACTGGTCATCCCTCTCTCGGCAATAAAACCCTTGTCGTTTCTCTGAATGGCTACTTCATATCGCTGGCTAGCCTTATCATTCACAAAATTATTATCTACTTGCTTGCCCTTACCCTTCGAAACGGATTTGAGTGGCATTTTCTCTCAATATAATTCACTACAATCTACCACAAAAAATCAGTAATTTAACTCCCAAATCCAACACTAGTGCACACTTCTCACAACCTAATAATCAATTCCTCAATTCACCCTTAACCTTTCAAAATTTACACTCAAACCCCAAAATCACCAAGCTTCCAAATGCACTCAACCAACTTAAATATTACAAACCCAACTTCCTCAACACAAATCAATTCAAAATCCACAATTCTCAAATCAACCCCATTTCACAATTCGCAACAGATCCACAACTCAAGCAATTCAATCAATTCTCAAACTTAAAACATTTAAAAACCAAAATTAATTTAATTCAAAGCTAGATAACACGAAATCATACCTCACCCACCACATATCCACCTTAAATTTTGCCAATTTCCACCCAAATTGCAAGATCCCAAAATTTTAGAGAACCAAGGGTTTCTGTACTTTCTTCAATAATCTGCAAAATCCTTGGAAAAGTAAGGTGATTAGGTGTTTATGGGAGTTATGGAGTGGAGTAGTGTGAAGAAATTGACTGGAAAAGATCAGGATTTGAAGATGGAAATTTTTGGTTCTTGGAGGCTTTTTTGAATGCTTGTGAAAAATGGGAGAGATAAATCGAGTTTATATAGAAAAGGTTTTTCGCCGCGGCAAAAATTCTAGAATTCCCTCTTCTTTGCATGTGAACTGCTCGATGCTGCGGTGAAATTTTTCTCTTGCCGCGGCGAAGTCTGGAAATTTTTTTTCTTAAGGGGCATAGAGTGTTTAATGCCATGGCGAAAATAATTCTTTGCCATGGCAAGGAATGAATTGCCGCAGAAAAATTAAGTCCTTGCCACGACGAAAATCTGGAATTTCAAAATCACACATTTGGCAGTGTGGTTATTGCCGTGGCGAAATTTCTCTTTTGCTGCGGCAAATTCTAGAAAAAATTTGCTTCATGCCAAATTTTAATCTTTCACCTGAAACACTAAAAGGAAAACAAAATTTAGCTATTCCCTAAGTCAAATAATACATAAACAAATGTAAAACAACTAAAATTGAAAATGCTTGGGTTGCCTCCCAAGAAACGCTTGTTTATAATCGAAAGCTCAACTTTCTCCTTGGATCTCATTCCGGGATGTCGAGTTTGATGGGCAATGACTTACAACTCAGTGCTCCATCTATGTACAGCTTCAATCGCTGCCTATTCACCTCAAATGTACCCTTTTCCTCATGAGAGATCTCAACAGCTCCATATGGGTAGACTTGTGTAACTATGAAAGGTCCAGACCATCTAGACTTAAGTTTTTCGGGAAAGAGCCTAAGTCTATAATTGTACAGTAGTACTTTTTGACCCACTTCAAAGTTTTTCTTCGCTATGTGCTTGACGTGCCACATCTTGGTCTTTGCTTTGTATATAAAGGCATTTTCATAAGCATCATGATGAAACTCATCAAGTTCATTCAAATGAAGCATTCTTTCTTCCCTAGTAACTTGTAAATCCATGTTTAGCTGCTTGATTGCCTAGTATGCCCTGTGCTCTAGCTCCACTGGCAAGTGACATGCCTTACCATACACTAGACAGAACGGAGACATGCCAATTGTAGTCTTAAATGCAGTCTGGTATGCCCACAATGCATCATCTAACTTTCGTGACCAATCCTTCCTGAATGCATTAACCGTCTTTTGTAGAATTCTTTTCAGCTCCCTGTTTGAAAGTTCCACTTGCCCGCTGGTCTAAGGATGGTACGGTGTAGCAACCTTATGTGTCACTCCACATTTTCCCAAGAGAGCTTCAAACTGCCTATTGCAAAAATGGGTTCCTCCATCACTGATGATTGCCTATGGTACTCCAAATCTCAAGAAAATGTTTTTCCTCACAAAGTTCACCACCACTTTGGCATTGTTGGAGGGTAATGCAACTGCTTTAACCCATTTTGAAACATAGTCAATAACCACCTAGATATACAAATTCCCATATGAATTCGGGAAAGGGCCCATGAAGTCAATCCCCCACACGTCGAAAAGTTCAACAACCAAGATGTTACTTAACGGCATCTCATCCCTCCTTGAAATATTTCCACTTGTTGACATTGGTCACATTGTTGAACAAACTGGAAAGCGTCCTTGAACAAAGTTAGCCAATAAAATCCAGATTGAAGGATTTTAGATGCTGTTCTAGTTCCTCCAAAGTGACCACCGACTTCCTTCTCATGGCAATGCCTTAAAATACTCTTCATTTCTTCTTCAGGGACACACCTTCATATCATCTGATCTACACAATGTTTATACAAAAACGGTTCTTCCCAAAAGTAAAATTTCAAGTCAGAGAAAAATTTCTTCTTTTACCGGAAAGTCATGCCATTTGGACGCACTCTTGATGATAAGTAATTTGCAATATTTGCATACCAAGGTGCTTCTTAACTCTCATCAATTTCTCATATAGGAATGTCTCCTTGATTTAAGTTTCCTCTTCACTTCCCTTTGTTGGTTGTTCAATCCTTGATAGATGATCTGCTACCACATTTTCTGACCCTTTTTTGTCTCAGATTTCCAATTCAAACTCTTGCAGTAGTAGGATCCATCTTATTAGCCTTGGTTTTGCTTCTTGCTTTGCTAACAAATGCTTGAGCATTGAATGGTCCGTGTAGACAATCACCTTAGCACCTAGCAAATAAGAGCAAAATTTGTCAAATGCAAAAACAACGACTAAAAGCTTTTTTTCAGTAGTGGTGTAATTCAACTGTGCATTAGTTAGTCTTGCTAGCATACTGAATTACATGCAAAACCTTGTTCTTTCTTTGTCCTCAAACCACTCCTAATGCAAAATCACTAGCATCACACATCAATTCAAATGGGAGTTTCCAATTGGGAACTACAATAATGGGTGCAATTACTAATAATTTCTTAAGAGTTTGAAAAGCATCCATGCATTCATCATCGAAATCAAAAGATGCATCTTTAATCAACAAATTGCAGAGGGGTTTAGAGATTTTGGAGAAATCCTTTATGAATCTTCTATAGAACCCCGCATGCCCCGGGAAACTCCAGACTGCCTTGACATTTATAGGTGGTGGCAGCTTCTCATTCACTTCTGTTTTGGCTCGATCCACTTCAATACCATTCTTTGAAATTCAGTGACTGAGCACTATGCCTTCTTGAACCATGACGTGACACTTCTCCCAGTTGAGCACCAGATTTGTATCTTGGCATTGCTACAAAACAAGGGAAATGTTAGAAAGGCAATTATCAAAAGAAGAACCAAAAACAGAGAAGTCATCCATGAAGACTTCTATGAACCACTCCACCATGTCACTAAATATCAACATCATGCATCGCTAAAATGTGGCTGATGCATTGCACAACCCAATAAACATCCTTTTGTAAGCAAAGGTATCATAAGGACAAGTAAATGTCTTCTTTTCTTGATCTTCAGGGGCAATAGGGATCTGATTATGTTCTGAATAACCATCCAAGAAACAATAATACGCATGCTCCGTTAGCCTTTCCAACATTTGATCAACGAATAGAAGTGGAAAATGATCATTTCTTGTTGCTTCATTCAGCTTCCTGTAGTCGATTCACACCCTCCAACTCGTGACTGTCCTAGTTGGTATCAATTCATTGCTTTCATTCTTCATTACCGTGATACCCCCTTTCTTTGGAACCATTTGCACCGGGCTCACCCAAGGGCTATCTAAAATAGGGTAGATGATGTCTACATCTAAGAGTTTTACCACTTCCTTTCTCACCACTTCCTTTATAGAAGGATTTAATCTCCATTGTGGTTGCACTCTAGGCTTGACATTATCTTCCATGAGTATCTTGTGCATACAAAGAGATGGAGAAATGCCTTTAAAGTAAGAAATGGTCCATCGAATTGCTGATTTATGCTCTCTTAACACTTGAATCAATCTCTCTTCCTCCACTTTACTTAGCTTTGCATTGATCATTATCAGAAAAGATTCTGATTCACCAAGATACACATATTTAAGGTGAGATGGTAAAGGCTTCAGTTCAAGCTTTGGAGGTTCTTCCGTTCTTGCCTTTTCCTTCTCTTTTTCCATGTCAAAATCTTCAAATTCTGGATCTTGGCTTATGTTTATCGGTTAGAGCGCTTTAAATACCTAGCACACTCATTCTTCTTCAGGTCGTCTACCTCGGTTGTTTTGGATTGGGCAATGCAAGCTTCTAGAGATAGTTGAGGGGTGATCTCTTCGATAGTATTCGCCACAAGTTTATCCACCAAATCCACACTAAAACATGAACTAACTCTGATGGAAATTTCATAGCCTCGAAGACATTAAAAGTCATCATTTCATCTTGGACCCTTAGCATCAACTTTCCTTGTTGAACATCAATCAAAGTCCTCTCTGTAGCAAGGAATGGTCTTCCTAAAATGAGAGGTATTTCCTTGTCTTCTTCCATATCCAACACAACAAAGTCCGCAAGGAAGATAAACTTATCCACTTTAACTAGGACATCTTCAATAATGCCCTGTTGATGCTTGATGGATCGATCTGTGAGCTGCAAGGATACGGTTGTGGGCTTCACCTCACCAATCCCTAGTTTCCTAAAAGCAAAGGTATTAAGTTAATGCTAGCACTTAAATCACATAAAACTCTATCAAATGTAATATCTCATATAACACAAGGGATAGTGAAACTGTAATACTCACTCTCTAGCTAGCATACTCGGAAGTAACAGTAAAACTCACAAAATATATATAAGAAAATATACATGTAGATGAGTATAAAATAATGGGCCCGTAACTAATTCTTCTTTAAATACAAATATTCATAAAATATAATAAGTCACAAAACATCAACTCGACAGTGTTGCCCAACCCTTCCGCTGCGTGATGTTCCAAGCAACCGTATCTCACCTATTACCTACAAAAACATTAAAAACAATGGGGTGAGCACTAATTGCTCAGTAAGTAAACCCACTACGCTACTCTTCTCTCTCCGTTGCTTAAATTTTGAATTTCTTTCCTTACATCACACCTCTTTATTCTTCTTTGTTCTTTCTTTATTCTTTCTCTATTTCTAATTTCTCACTACCCATGATAATAGGCACGGTATCATACATAGGTATGATGCAAATGCACAAATGCATAGAATGTGCATTTTCTTTTCTCTTTTTCTATTTTGTTTTCTGTTTCTTTTCTCTGTATTTCTTTCTTTCTTTCTTTTCTAGTCTTTCTTTCTTTCTTTTTCTGTTGTTTCTTTCTTTTTTCTATTGTTTGTTTGTTTCTTTTTCTATTCTTTCTTTTCTTTTCTCTTCTTTTCTTTCTTATTCTCTTCTTTCTATTCTTTTCTTTCTTTTTCTTTTCTTTTCTTTTCTTTTTTATTCTTTGCCAATCCGACTTAGTTGAGGCATGGATTCGGAACCCTGGCCGTGTGAGTGAGTACAGTCCTCATCTACATGCACTCTTACGGACTGTACAAATTCTTCTTCTTCTTAGGCTGCTCACTAAAGGCGGCGTGCATGTAGGAATATTCTTCTGGGTACAGTCCTCATCCACATGTACTCTTACAGACTATACAAACTCTTCTTCTTCTTAGGCCGCTCACTAAAGGCAGCATACATGTGGGAATATTCTTCTTCTTGTCACTCACGGGTTCCCCATCACAACATCCTTCTTTTCTTTTATCTTTTTACACTTCTTTAGATAAAATTTCAGATTTGAACTTCTTTAATATTCTCATCTCTTTCTATTTACTCTTTTACATTCTTTAGTGCTTTTTCATGCTCTTATGAGTATGTATGCATGTAGATGGTTTCATACTTATAATTCTTTCTAAATTCACATGTTTAGATGCAATAATGCAATATGGAATGCAAATAAGTCATTCTCTACCATCTACAAACTCATCTCAACATAACACATAATCATACTCATACATGCACTTCTCTTTGACATTTCATCAAACAACTTATGTGCACAAAGCAACTCTAATTTGGCTACACTTCTATCTCTTTTCTAAGCCACCAAAAATTTGGTATAAAATCCTCCATATTTAACATTGAACCTGTCCAAAATGTAGAGTCCAAAATTTCTACTCCAATTCTTCCATAATTCACCCAAACTCTCATCAAACATCAAATACACAAACACTACTTCTCATGGATAAATTCTAACCTTCATTCAATATACATTCCATCAACAATTCTTCATATATAAGCATATACATGCATAAAAGAAATTCTCTACAATTCATCCAAACTCTCTTTCTCTTTGTTCTTTAATGTTCTCATATATGTGTATGTGCATGGAAATATGCTAATTCTTTGCTATTCTTTCTAAATACAAATGTGAGAATGTGAGAATGCATTATGGCATATAAAGATATCATTATGGAACTAGTATTCTCTACCAACAACATTCCCATACTTGAATTCAATCATAGATTATTAGACTAAAAATAACTAATAAATTGGAGGTACTTTTGAGGTAGTCATTCTGCACAGGTCATATTCAAGAAGGCATATCTTGAGCTATACAAATTGGATTGCTATGCTTTTGGTCTCATTTTAAAGCTTTGAAAAAGGGCTACAACTTTTATTTAAGTCTCAACTCAGTTCGATGGTTCGATGGGTAAGATGCTCAAAAATCACTCATAAGTTCACGGATTTGATAGGACAACCATGGGAACATGTTTTCTCTTAGGATTTTTCATCAAACAATTCATATGCACATGCTACTACCATGTTGGCTACACTTCCGCAACTCTCTAATTCAACCAAATTGTGAGCCAAAAACTCACTAAATTGAGTATCAAACCTGGCTGAATTTATCACTTCTCTACACTCCAAAAATCTCAACAAAAAATCTTCCACAACTTTACCATCACATACAAACATGCAAGAAAATTCATTCAACAAAGTCTTGCTCAAATTAAGGTTCAAATTAGGTTTACTTACCTTGAATTTGAGCAACTCCAACACTATACTCTCTCTTTGGTAGAATTCCCTCCTCCTCAAACCCTAAGCATGTACAACCATAAGAATTCAAAACTTTCAAATTTAATCTCACTTCTTGGTGCAAGAATCTTACCTTTGGATGCTTAGGATTGAAAATCTATCAAAAGTTAGCCAAAATCCTATGAATTTCCTTGGAAATTTAATGAAGAAATTTGAGAGAATTTGGGTAGAGAATGGTTTGAATGGAGGGTAGAGTGGCTAGGGTTTCTCTTCTTCAACTCTTAATATCATAAAATAATATATATAGATTCCCATTTTATCCTTGCACTTTCTAAAAATTCTATCTATGTCCCTTAGTCAATTACAAGAATGCCCTCATTTTTATTATATTCTCTATGTTATTCTATTTCTTTTCACTCCCCGCTTTTTCAACTAATTATGAGTGAAAATACCATTTTACCCCTAATGAAGGTTTAAGGAATTGTCTTCACACTTGTTCAAGATAACTTTAATAAAATTCAACTAAGGGTATTAGGGCATAAATAAAGCTACGTATCTAGATGTGGACGTTACAGAAACTCCCAGGATCCTTGAGTTTTGGCGGTAGCTTCTTCTGCAGAATGGCACTGCACTATTCTATAAGCATCACTGTTTCATCCTCTTATAGCTTCCTTTTGTTCAAAAGGATCTCCTTCAAGAATTTAGCATAACTTGGCATCTGCAAAAGGTATGTTAATATGTAATTTTTTAAATACATCTAGGAATTTCATAAACAGCTTATCCTGATTTTGCTTTCTAAGCCTTTGAGAAAAAGGAATAGAAGGGGTATGATGTGCCAACTCCGGCTGTATCTCTAGAAAAGGTAACTTCTCTTTTCTTCTCTCTTGCACGCTTTCTTGATGAAGTTCATTTTCTTGGCTCTACACTTTCTCTTTCACTATGATTTCTTCATCAGCTTTTTCCTCAGATTCTCTCTTCTTCTCTGAAGGGTTCTCATCCTTCTTCATTGATTCAACTTCTTCTACGGCTTTCCCACTTCGTAAGGTGATGGAATTTGCTTGTTCATGTGGGTTAGTCACCTTATTCCTTGGCAAATAACCTTGAACTCTCTCATTCAACTTTTCTGAAATTTGTCCCAACTGTACTTCCAAATTTCCGATGGATGCTTCTTGGTTTCTAAAATTGGACTATGTCTCATTCATGAAGTTTGTGGTCTCTTATATGAATTTCCTAAACATATTCTCCAACTTTGATACCTTTTGCTCTATTGGTTGAAGATTCACCGCTTGTTGATGATTTGGTACTGTCCTTCGGTTCAGTTGACTGCCTTGATTGCTCCAGGAAAAATTTAGGTGATTTCTCCATCCAGGATTGTAGGTGTTGGAAAAAGGATTATTTTGGGGTCACTGATTTCCGGCCAAATAATTGACTTGCTCTAAAGATGAAGATGATGATGCAAAGGTGTTCCCCACTTGGCAGTCAATGCTTGCATGGTTACCTACACACAAGTCACGTGTTAATTGAGGTGCTTGAATAGAATTAACCTGCATACCTCCTAATTGTTTCTAAAGTGCTGGTAGTTAGGCTGAATTGGCCATGTAAGCATCAACTTCATGAACACCCATAGACTTCTTCGAATGAATTCTCTCATTAGGTCTCTGATAGTTGTTACTTGCTAGGACTTCAAGTAACTCATAGGTTGCTTCAGATGTCTTATTTTGCAATGCTACATCCACCATTGTATGCACATTTGGAAGCAACCTATTATAGAAGGTTTGGACTTGCATCAAAATAGGCAAACCATGGTGTGGACACTTCCTCATTAGTTCCTTATATCTTTCCCATGCTTTATATAGTGACTCGTTCTCATCCTAAATGAATGATGTGGTATCGTTTCTCATTTTTGCTGATTTCACTGGTGGGAAATATTTAGTTAGCAACCTTTGTGCCAATTCATTCTAGGTGGTGATTGTTCCAATTGGTAGTGCCAATAACCATCCCTTTGCTTTATCTCTTAGTTAAAATGAAAATAATCTCAACCTGATGGCATCATTTAACACTCTGTTTGCTTTAAAGGTGTCGCATATCTCCAGAAAGTTAGCAATATGTGAATTTGGATCTTCATTTGCATTTCCCCCAAACTGTACTGATTGTTGGATCATTTGAATGATAGTCGGCTTTATCTCAAAATTGTTGGCTTGAGCCGGTGGCCTAGTGATACTTGGACCACTACCATCAACTATGGGCACTGAGAATTCTCTCAAAGTTCTAATGTTTGCCATTTCTGTGCTAGTGTCTCTTCTCTCTCTCTTCGTTCCCTAATAAGTCTTCTAGCTGTTCTCTTGATCTAGATCAATGGGAACTATAGGGAAACTTCTTACTCTTTGCATAAACTATAAAAGGAAGGAAAATGAAGATTGTGAGATTACACAAACTCAATAGAATGAAAGTAAAACTAAAGGTAAAACTGAAATTTAAAGCTTCAACTTAGTGAAAATTAGAAGAATTCAATATCAGCACAAAATCAATCCTCGACAACAGTGCCAAGAACTTGATGCATGCTTTCACAAACATGCATATGTAGCAAGTGCTCTAGTTGCAAAAAGTAATAAAGTGATAAGTAGAGTATCGTTCCCACAAGGATTGCATGCATTGTGGTTATGGTTCCTAATTCTATTATTAATTGAAGAATACAAAAATGTTGGAATTGTGGGGGGAAGTAAAGCTAGAATTAAAACACAAAATCAAACAACTAAGATTAACACTAAACTAATAAACAAGGCAAAAGAGGTTATGGTTCTACTTCACTAGGATACTCTAGTTTAACCTACAATTTTTATTGCTTCCGAATTCACATGCAAGGATTATAAATTGAATTCCTTAAGTTGTAGAATATACCTGCTCAGGCTATATTCTCCTACCTATCCCTATTAAGCTTCCGTACCCAACACAATGAAGGTTCATAGTTCAAAGTCTACCAAGCTAAATGGAATCCTATAAAGATTTCATAGATCGCTAAACCTATCTCTAACGTTTACTTAATCTATGGTGTTTACTCTAAGAAGCTAACACATGAATCACTTCTCAGTCTCATCATGCTCAACATTCAATTGAATCAAAAGAACCCAACATCCAATTGCATTAAGAACAAGAATAAACACATAATGCAAGCAAAAGAACTAAAAAACAACACAAATTTATAGACTAAACCATTGTAATCCAAGTTACATCAAAACCCTAACCCAAAAGTGAGTTAGTTCATGCTCAAAATAAAGAAAAACATCACATAAACTATAAATGTGGAGTTCAACATATTAGAAATTGAAAGAGGAATGAATTCTTCCCTATTTTGGAGACCCAAATTCTTCAAATCTCCTTCTTCTCTTCCCCTTGTCTAAAAATGTTAACCTCTTCTAAAAAATGAACTAAGTCTCTCTTAAATAGTAGGTAAAACGCAACGTTTTACAAAAACTAATTTTTGCAGTTTTCGCCGCGACGAAGAAGAATCTAGTTGCGGCATCGATTTGAATTTTATTGAACCATCCAACCAGAGGCTCGCTTGCCATGACGAAGAAAGAACCTTGGCGTGGTGAACTCTTGTTGAACTTTGCTGAAATTATGAAACTGCCCTCCGCTTGCTTCTTTGCTTGAGTCTTCGATCTTCGTGATCCTCAATAGGAACAAACTTCACAGTGCTTCCAATCACCATCAGAATTCCCCTGATTCCTGAATTTCACTTGATTCCAAGTCTAGAAACTCATTTTCGCTCGGTTTTACTCCAACTGCACATTTTGGCTTGAAACGTAAAATATACAAATTTAAGTAGTAATTCCGGCACAAAACTTAATAAGAAGTATCCGAAATCTTACAAAAAGCATAAAGAAAATAGTGTAATCCTATGATTATCAAATACCCTTGAACTTACAGTATGCTCATCCTTGAGCATCAGGCACAAAATGAGACTAAAGAAGAACAACAGAAAAAAGAAAAAAAATTGAAAAAGCAAAGGAAAATTTAAAATCAAACACAAAAGAGACGCCTAGAATTGATTGCAAATGCAAGTCTAAAAAATTGTTGATACATTTTTACAAGAAAATGCTTAACACTCCAACAAGTTATAAATTGATTGACTATCTTTCTCTATCGGTCACCTAAGTAGGTAATCCCGACTTCAATCCACCTTCCAATTTCCCAAATTATTTTATGCAGAAATGTGAAGTTTATCAAAGGGTGGTAGACTCCATAAGCCTAAGTACTTTCCACTAATGAGGACTAGACATCACTAAGGATCAAAAGGTCTTTGTTGGCTTTTAACGTTAGGCTTGGGTGAGTGGCTCGAAAGAAGGGATAGGAAAAACAAAGTAAGAGAACTCGGTTTTCCTCATGTAAACACGGAGAGCAACATCTACAAAACCCTTTTTTTTGGATAAGGTAAGTATGTATAAAAGACAAAAAAATATACAAATACGAGGGGCATACCCCAAGAGGAACATCTACAAAACCCATTCTTTCTCATTTTCCAATGAACTTCTACAATCATTTTCACAACCCCCAAACTTATGCATTTCTTATTTTTGTACTGGAAATGCATAAGGAAATCAGAAATTTTAATTACAACTACATACAGAGTTTGTTTTGTTTTGTTTTGTTTTGTTTTTTTTTTTTTTTTTTTTTAATAACTAAAAAACAATTGGGTTTTTTTTTTTTTTTTAATAACTAAAAAACAATTAGGGTTGCTTGGCCCCTTTTTATTGCCCTTTCTTACAACCTCCAAACTTGAACTTTTTAATCCATCACTTTTTCACATGCCTCTCAACTCTTTTATGTTATACACGAGGTCCAAAATTCTCCTAAAGGGTATGAAAAAGTGTTTAGGGTGAAAGGTTTGGACATTTTCGGTTGTACAAGAAGAATAAGGCAATTAAATCAATAGGCTCAAACGGGTAACTAGGAACAATTCATTTATGGGTTGGCTAGAAAGGCTCAAACGTTCTGAAAAATTGCCTAAATCATTTCCTCAATAATGTCTATTCCTAGAATATCACCTCAAGCACCTCTCAACTAGGTTATAGAGTCTACCAACATTATCAAGACTTCACCTAACCACATAAAATGAATCTAAGCATGCCAAAAGAATGAAAATGGTGGTTGAACCACTCATCAAACCTCAACTAAATCAAGTCAACAAACCTAACTTGAAGCAATGCTTCACATTATCTATAAATAATATCCCAATAATCCCAGTCTCAGATTCCATGGCTTCAAGCCATTTAATGGAATCTGGATCCGATATAGTGTCTTTGTAGGTTTTGGGTTCATTGTCTTGGTAGACCAATACGTCACCATGTTGAGTCACAAGATAACCTTATCTCTCAGGCTTACGATGTACTCTCCCAGATCTATATAGTTCCTATGCTACCTAAGGTGGTTCATTTTGATCCACAAATTGTAGAGGAACCTCTTCACGATGTTCAACCACCTCTGTGGCACATCTTCCTGTCCTTTGTCCAATGTATCTTATGGTACTTGAACTTCATCGAGTTCTACTTTTTTGCCACTAGTACTTCTTAGAAAAAAATCCTTTTCTAAGAAGACATCAATAGCGAAAAAAAATTTTGTGCTCTTCTAGATGGTAGAAATAGTATCCTTTGGTCTTTTTAGGATACCCCACAATTATACATTTGCAGGATTTTAGGCCCAGCTTGTTCGAAGTCAATTTCTTGACATAAGCTTCACAACCCCAAATCATTAGATAAGACAAGTTAGGCTTTTGCCCACTCCATAGTTCATATAGAGCCTTATCTACAGACTTTGATGGCACACTGTTCAATACGTGAGTTGCAGTCTTTACGGCATAACCCCAAAATGATGCAGGTAGATCACTAAAATTCATCATGGACCTAACCATGTCAAGTAAGGTCCTATTCTTCCTCTCAGACACTCCATTGTGTTGGGGTGTGTACGAAGGAGTGAATTGTGATACTATCCCACATTCTTTTAGGTATTCAGAAACCCTGAGCTTAAGTATCACCTACTCGATCAGACCGAAGAGCTTTAATACTTTTGCCCAACATATTATGTACTTCATTCTTGAATTCTTTGAATTTATCAAAGGATTCCAATTTATGTCTCATAAGATAGACATAACTATATCTACTGACATCATCAGTAAATGTGATAAAGTATGAATATCCACCTCTAGATTCAACTGTTAGTGGACCACATACATCATTATGGATGATACTTAACAGTTTAGTAGCCCTTTCACTTTGTCTTGTGAAAGGAGACTTGGTCATCTTGCCTAAAAGGCATTATCACATACCTCGAATGACTTGAAGTCAAAAGGGCCCAAAACTTCATCCCTTTGAAGTTTTTCAGAGCAAGTCTGATTAACATGACCCAATCTACAATGTCAGAGGTATGTCTGGTTTCGATCACTATGTTTAGCTCTCTTGGTTTGAACATTCAGAATATCCTATTGTTTAAATCAAGAACATATAGCCCGTTATATAACCTTGAAATTCCAAATAGAATACCATTCAAACTAAAGGACAACAATCTATTAGAAATCTCAAAATGATATCCTATATTATCCAAAGTAGATACTAAAATAATATTTCTGGAAATAGAAGGTATGTAATAACAGTATGAAGTTCCAACAACAAGCCCATAGGCAAAGATAAACAGCAAGTTCCTACAGCCAATGCAGCCACATGTGCTCCATTTCTAACTCGTAGGTCCATTTCTCCTTTGGTACGCGATCTACTCTACCTTAGTCCCTGCACATCTATATAAATGTGAGTAACACGTCCTATGTCAATGACCCAAGATGTTGAAGGAGATAAGTCAATCTCAATCATGAACATACCTAAAGTCGAAGCCTTTGACTTCTTCTTACAAGCGAGGAAAGCCTTGAAATGCTTCCTCCAGTGGCCAGGCTTGCCACAATAGAAGAAGATTACTTTCCCGCCCTTCGCAACACCACTCTTAGGCCTAAGAGAATCCTGTCCTTTGGGTTTAGACTTGGGTTTGGCCTTTACCTTTCCCTTGCCTTTGCCCTTCCCTTTACTGGTAGCAGCTAGTAAAATAGGCTTGGGCCTTTTCATGTCCTGCTCTATAGTCCTCAAAATGTTCAGAAGTCTGACAAGGATTTCACCTTTGTGTTCATGTTGAAGTTCATTATGAATGGTGCAAAACAATTAGGTAAGGATTGTAGAATTAAATCCACTTGTAAGTCTACATCTAACCCAAACCCCAAAGTCTGCATCCACTTGTAAGTAAA